CCATGCCCCCCAAAATTTCAGTAGCCGTGGCGCCTCCTACCTGGAAACAGGTTACAGTACTTGAAACATCACCAAGATCAAATGAATTTTCATATAAGGAGTGCTATCGTTGGACTTCAAACAATATTTTGTCGAACAGAATGTGCTCGTTTGTGCATAGTTCAATTTAATTCAAAAGAGATTTAATTTTAGAAGCTTAAAGCTAAATCTGCTGTATTGCTCATCATGTCATGATAAATTGAATANATCTTCAGAGCTGGAAGTGATTTTGTTCCCTGCATCACTGCGTTGAAACAGGCCGTTTAGTCTCCAAATTGTCCAACGTTTCTGGTGTACCTGCTAGGGGGTAAGGACTGATTATGGTGATCCGCCCACTTAAAATAGCAACAACATTTTTGCTTCATATCGTGCTCATAATATTAAACGAAAGGTGAAAGCAAAGCGACAGCAACGGAGTACACATGAAAGACACAGCTGCCGAATCTAGCAAAGACGTTGCGATTGGTTGTTGTACCAAGAGGTCACTCCGCATGTTACAAACTCTACCTTTCCCATTGGTTCGGATGCAGTCCTATAGTATACTCTCCAAGATTAAACTCAGAAGCTGAAAATTGGAGCAACATCGTGAATGGAGCATTTTAAGTGTCGGGATTGGGGTCAATGACCATACGCTGTTATCCTCAAGATAAGCCTTTGAAATATCACGTGTGTTCATGTGACGATGACCTTAGAACAAAAGCCGTTGCCGAATGTAATCATATCAGACGAGAATTTGGTTGCTGCTCAGAATGCTTCTTCAGTGTTTCTATTCTTCATCTGTGAACCATTTGGATCGTTCGCCTTACGCAACTCATCCTCGTTTCTGTGAGAAAGTCAGAGCACCTGGCTAACCCAGGGCTCTCTTCTCTTTGTCAGTAATGATACAGGAATTCCGATGAAGTGTGCACTAAATTTGGACGCAAAAAAGGGGAAATTATGGTGATTTGAGCAATGCCGCTGTATTAAATTTCGTCGCTTATGCCTGTGAATAGGTGGTGTTCTTTTGATGCTACTGATTAACGCGTACAATGATCATTCACTGAGTATCCTAATTTTTTCCCTTGGGTTTACCTACAAAAGAAAGTTCTACAGCTGAGGAGCCTCTTTAGTCGACCAGAAACTGTCGGTTCTTTACCGACATCGATCTCTCGGTTCATTATATGTCTGCCCGTCCGCAAAACATCCCATGAACATTTTCATCCTTACTACATACCAGCTTGATCAAAATGGAATAAGTATGGAATGAGCTAAGCTACCTCAACAGATGATTTGAGCTAACACCGGGCTTTGGTGTTCGTTGCCTGCTAAAAGTGCGTACTGACGAGATGGAAGTGCGCAATGCCAGGTCGAATTGGACAATATAAGTTTAGTTGATTAGGTAATATAGGATGAAATATCATCACGGATTCCGTCCACTGTGGGCGGGATGCAGAGGATAAGCATCATCCTCTCAAGAAAAAAACTGAGTGTAAAAGTTTGTGGCAACTATGCGAGCAGCGGTGAAGAAACAAACTCTGAAGTAAGCTAGGCGCGCCTGAACCCGGCTTGATTCCACATTGTCGTGGCTTCCGCACGACTTATTAAAGGGCCACGCCTGGTCGGGCGCGCAGGGGTCCCGGCGCGCACAGCGTATCGGTGCCTGCGCGTCGGCTATACTCGACGCGTGCTCTGGTCTAATGCTAGCCGGCAGTGTGTCTCCATCGGTCGTCGTAGCCGGCCGCCACTGCCGTCGTACCGCTCGAGCCTGGAAGTGTGATGCAATCCGATGGAATGTGATGTGATC